GACTTACTTATTGATGTATAGGAATGAATCACAGCTGGAGTATGGGGTCAGAGGACAACCCACAGGAGTCAGTTTCTCACCTTCTACCATGTGAATTCCAGGGATCAAAGTTAGGTCCTCAGGCTTTGCAGCAAGCTTTTACCCACTGAGAATCTCTCATTTGCCCTCTATCTTTTGGTTTTGTTTTTATTTTTAACCTTGGGAGACATGGCCTCTCACTGAACCTGGAGCTCACAGGTTCAGCTAGAGGGGCTGGCTAGCCAGCTCCAGTGGTCTTCCCGTGCTCCCTCTCCAGTGCTATAACTAAAGGCATGCACTCCTTAGGCCAGTTGTGGTGGTGTGGGCCTTTAATCCCAACACCCAGGAGGCAGAGATAGGCAGATCTCTGAGTTCAAAGCCAACCTGGTCTACATAGTGAATTCCAGGAAACCTAGAGGTAGGTAGTGACACCCTGTCTCAAAAGAAACAAAAAACAATTGTAAAAGAAAAAGGGGTGTACTCTTGCTTCAATTTCTTTCTTTAAATGTGGGTACTGGGGATCCAAGCTCATCTAGATGCTTTTACTAACTGGGTTGTCTCCTCAACTTACTCACACACACACAAAACGTTACTTTTGTTACTGAACCATAGGCCAGTTTTTTATAAACCACTGACTACTAAACCCTGAAGAATTTCCTGAAAGAAAAAAAAATCATAGTAAGTAGGAATTGACTTGGATGAGGAAGATTTGGGAGGCCGTGAGGAAATCACAGAAGACTGAAAGTGGTTTCCTTTGTCTTAATGAAATAACCCCTACAATTCTGATTGTATTGATCAGAAACTCCAGAAGGCATTCGGACTGCAGCCTCAGGACCTTTGTACCTGTGGAGCCTTTGCACAGACTCTCCAGATCTTTGCCTAGCTGGCATCTTCCTGTTCTAAGTTCAGGTACAGTGTTCTAAGTTCAGCTATACAGATATACTTTCCCTGATGCCAGTTTATAGAAATCTACTTCCCAGTCTCTGTTGTTTCCTGGCTTTCAGTTCTTATCAATACTTGAGAGGATCTTATTTGTGTGTTTGTTTTCTCATTGAGACCCTTTTTCCAGGAGAGCAGTGTCCTTGTCCATGGGGTTCATTTCTGTAATTTGGTCTTCTATGGCCATTGGGAAAGAGAGCTCAGACTCAGCTGTACCCTGGGTCCTTCCATTTGCCAATCTACACGCCGTCTTCCTTAAAGTTGCTGCATACAGATCAGCAGAGGTAAGCTCAGGATAACTTCAGCTCTGGTGCCATAGCTGTGGTCCCCAGGGAACACAAAGGAGGCCAGAGGCCCCTGCTGAAACAGAGTAACAGCAGAAGAAGCAGAGGCAGAGTTCCCATTTGTCATGTTTTGCAAAAACAAAACAAAACCCTCATCATAGTTGTGCTTGCTTTCTCTCTCTCATTCTGGTGTGTGTGTGTGTGTGTGTGTGTGTGTGTGTGAGAGAGAGAGAGACAGAGACAGAGACAGAGAGAGACAGAGAGAGATATTGATTGACTCATGGTCAGGAGTTTATACCACTGTATCTGACCCCTGCATAAGGACACATGAGGGGTGGGTATAAATGACAACCATCCCACCCCACCCCCGATTTGACTCAGATCTTCTCAGCCTTAGTAGGGGGCCTGGAGGGCACTAGCTGAGGCAGAGTTTGTCACACATATGCCTGGAGAACAACAGGCTAGAGAGTTGGAGGGTGTTTTGTGGCATTCAATAACACTCTGGTGAATTGAAGGCAAGGCCAAGCCTCCTCGGGTCTAGGATTTTCTTTGATTCCCTAGTACACGAAAGGATAGAGGGGTCATGGTTCTGTCCTGCACCCGTACTGGAACCAAAACAAGTTGAAGGTATACCTTGCTCTGAAGACTCTAAGTTATCAGTAAATGCCAAGTTCCCTCATTGTGCTCCCAAACTTCTCCCAAGGACTATCTAGTTCCTACACATCCAACCCACTCAATAGAGAGCTAAACAGTGAGGTTGACAACTGTCCATCCCAGAGATAGGCCAGCACGGAAGTGAGGCATGGAACTGGGTTACTGGGTAGAAACCAGGCCCCACTTGCCTTAGCTCACTGCCACAGGAAAGCTAATACCATCTTCATCTTTAAAGTGTTCACAATAATAGTATCAGACATCAAGGTTTGCTTTTGAAGGAAACGAGCCTCCTACATGGTCCAAAACAGTTCTCTGTTCACAGGAAGCCAAACACCAGCATTAGCCCCAGGCTTCCAGAGCCCTGATCCTACCTTGCCTTCAATGCTTCCTCTTCCCTGACCTGCCTATTCCGATGCTTCTTCACTCTATCCATTTCTACATGACCCTGGGGCTGATGAAAGTACCCTCAGAACCTGCAGGCTGCTGGGTGACCTCATTGGGAAAAGGTAGAGCAACTATCCCCTCTCCACAAAACAACTTCTGCTGTCTCCAAGTTCAGCAAGGCAGGGACAAGACTGTGCAGAGAAGCAGCTCCCAGCACCAGAGCTGGACTGGATCTGGACCTCTTTCATTGACCTCCAATCCTGGAGCTAGACAAGGTAGTAGCTTCT